CACACACACACACACACACACACACACACACACACACACACACACACACACACACACACACACACACACACACAATGATGGGCATGTAATGCAGGGGAACAACAGCTCATATATAAAACTACATCTATCAGTGTTTTTTGGGGGTTTTTCTAAACATGCTCAGTCATTTACGCCTTTTCTGTAACTGGCTTTGTTGCAGGAATTCCTAAAACCACAGCAGAGGCAATGTGCAGATTGGTTATTTGGCGAGGTTTTTAATAAAGAAAGAAAGAAAGAAAGAAAGAAAGAAAGAAGGACTGTCAGCAAAATGAGCATTGTAGTTTAGGAGCAATGCCTTCTGTTCAACAGTAAAACACCTGTTGTGAAGCTGTGCAACTTTGCAGAACTTTACTGTATGTGTGCGAGTGGAAAAGCAATAAATCACATAAAAGAAAAGCCTTTGAGGCAAAACTCGTACTCTTTATATAACTTAGAGTGTGYGTTTTGTTTTATACTAATATGTTTGGTCATTTTTGACCACTTCCTTCGTCATTTCTCAACTTTCTGAGGACATTACTTGAAACTAAATAACATAAAACACATTTGCATAAGCTAGTACTGTAAATGTTAGGGGTGCACCAATWCARAAAATTCATGATTCATTTCGATTCAATACTTTAGTGTCACGGTTCGATAATCCTTTATTCCCATGCCCTTCTTAAYTTGTAATTTATTGAAATGAATTATGAACATTGGTTTAACCTCAAAAGTACAGTTTTTAAATTAAACGTTTCTGAAAAAGCAGGTTTCTCAGTGGATCTGTGCTCCACAATGCAGCCTAGGTGGAGTAGTCGAACACAGATCCACTGAGCCTTCAACACAGTTCGACAGATAGTGTGTATTGAAGCACTGTATTGAACAGTTTCATTCAGATCCATGTTTTGTTGCAAACCCAAGTAAATGTCGATTAAAGTCACATCTAAGGCTAAAACTTTTGCATTGTTGATTGCCGTGATGAAGTGATTCAACTCAATCTGCTGGCTTCTTCTTTAGATTGTTCCTTTTTTCATGTACAGTACCCTGAGACAACGTATGTTGTGACTTGGCGCTATATAAATAAACTGAATTGAATTGCTGTCAGTGATRGTGGTTTTGGAGAGGTACTGGTAATATATACTCTGCCACCCAACAATGAGATTTACACACAGAACCTACAAGGCTGCCATGTAAATATCATTACATATTGGGCTTCCTATATGATTTTCATCTATATGGCATTTTGAAAGTGTGCCTGTGTGGGTGTATAATAAAGAAGTAGAATAATTTAGAWATGTTCATAATAAAAAAGAAAGGAAAATTAGAGAATTCATGAGGAGATTCTATGGAAGATGCTTTCATTCCCCGTTTCTTATCTTGATCCGCGTTATTATATTTGCTCAATCAAAACCCCTCTTTTGCAAAACATCTATATGAACGGCTCCTCTCGCTCTGTCCCGCTCTCTTGCTCATTCGCAATTACGAGAGTAAGACAAAGAAAAAAAAGCGATTCATCTTTCTGTCGCGGTCCCTTAATGATATCATTAAAATGACTGACAGCTTTGAATAGCATCGGGAGCCTTCCCCAGTCAAAACAAATCTGATCCGTTTTGGAAACAGGGTCTGGTGGTTCGTTAGGGAAGGGGAGGGTGGGGTGTGGGGCTGCGGGGCCAACATGAGAAGGGGCACGTGTGTAAAACGGGGTGAGGATCGGAAGGGGCTGCTAATGAGGAATAC